CTCCATCCACAAAACAATTAAGTATTCCGATTAAATATTCATTTGCTGACGCAGCAGCGCGTCACTTAATACAGCGATTCGATTCTCAAACGTCGAGGGGTCGACGTTTGGATGTTGTTTCTTATTATTGCTTTTGCCGTTCTGATTATTGCTGTTTGCCTACGTCGAAAACAGTTTGTATCTGTGTATATCTGTGTTTGCGACTCCCCCGGCAGCAGGTTAGCCGGTTTTTCAAAGGCAATCTCTTGAATTCCCACAGCAGCAGCACGAAAAACAAGGAACGAAACTAAATTCGGCAAGTCGAAGTTTATATACCGTTAAAACGACTAGATTGTTGACATATATGTTGAAAAATACTAAAGATAGGCTGTTTTTTCAGTTTTATTATATAGACGTTCAATTTTTATAAAGCTAAATTTTGTACTTTAAAATCAAAATAAAATTGAACTTTTGATTTAAATAATACTACCCTCTTCAAGGGTATAAAAAGCCGAAACCGAAATAAACATAGTATAAACATGGAACTCTCGAAGCAAAGTAGGCTAGATTTGTTGGCATCATGTGTGTTCCACACTCGCCAAAGTTCGGGTATATTAGTATTTTCCATTCCAGCGCCCCATAAACTCACCTTGGAGTCCCAAATAATTGAAAATCTGATCGGCAAAAAAGATAACAGTTTCCTTTGTCAACGGGGAAAGGCAACAATTATCGTAGCAGATTCTGTGGTCATTGTCCATGGTGTTAAACTAAGAGGCTTAACCATTAATTTGCTTTTGAGTTTGAGTTTTGAGTTTTAGTGACCAATCATTTTAAATATTCACCATGTACATATAATTAATCTGTGAGGATAAATGATTGAAGGAATTTAAGCATACGAAAATTGCAAGGGTAAATAGCTTACCATAATGATGAAATTTTTATGTCGATATCAAGATTTAATATGATTTTCGTTGTACATGCAAAAATGTGATATTTTCATAAATCAATTAAAAAGACTGGTATATCATAAAACCTTATTACTTTATAAACGTCAAAGTGTTAATAAATATTGTTTTTTTCTGTCAGCGGAAATGTTCAGTGTTCGATTATCTGGCTTTAGTTTCATGGAGCTAATGTGCACACCATGTTTATTGAAGCAGCTTTGAATTGACGGCACTTTACATATACAATTAGAGCGAATGTGGTGCGTGGCAACAATCAATGTGTCTTCAATTTGCCAAACAATCGTTTTGATTGCAATTACCAGAGAGAGGGAGCGGGGTTCCAGCACAGATACAGCATCGTCCTGATTAGTTGGTTCTTACGGATGTGGGTGGTACGTGCTGCAACTGCAGGAGAAGCACAGACCAAAGGGCACAACAGTCAGACACCACAGACCGCAGTGGATCTACACACACTGCGTGGCTTCCCTTCGCCACCAGGACGTCCGTCATCCGACTGCCAGAGATTGTGGGTTTGATGGGTTGCCCGACTACTCTTCCCATTTTCACTTGGCCAAGGTTTGCGTGCGATAATCAACATCTAGATTTTTAACTGCTTAGCATACATACAACACAACTAGGGGCTTGTTAGACCGAGCCGATAAAGAGAACAGCTACTGGGGGCCACTTGGAATGAATTTGCGTGTTCCTCTGTTGTGTTTTGTTGCCCACGCGGTGGCAACTCACTTCTTGTTTACTTGGCCAGCGGTCAATGAACTGCTTTTCCAGTTGGCACCAGCACCTGTCGCTACCAAAAATAAACAAACATTTTGGAGCATACATAGAAAAGGATCCCAATTCTCTTGGTATTCCGAGAAACTTCACAGAGAGTCAATAAAACTAGTGACAAGTGACAAGACGATTTAGAGCTTTCTAAAATCTTTGGAAGTGAAAAGGCCTTGAATGCAAAATGTTGACACTAACACCAAATATCAACTATATATTCAGATATCTTAAGAATACCTAACACCGCAGGAGCAATCGCTTTTACACTGAGCCCTTAAAAACAGGAATCGTTATCCATGAAATGATATAAATATTATTTCCAGAAAATACCTCAAAAAAAATTATAAAAAGTTCATTATTTTGCTATGATTCTAATTATATCCATGATGTCATTTCTTAAAGTGAACAATGCTAAATGGAGTTGAGACATCAAAAGCCACCGCCAAACAAGTTGTGGCTGCTGTTTTTTAGTTCGGCGATAAGCTCCTGACTCTCCACTTTAATTGTTCGCTTTAAGTCGGGGAATTCTAATTCGCTATCGCTCTATAAATTCCACTCTTTATGGCACTTGGTCCAGCTGATAACTAGAGTGCAGCGAAAAACTTTTGAGCTGGGACCAAATTAAATATCTCACTTCATGACTTGAAGGAGAGCCCCCGTCGGAGTCTGAATTTCAACGTCTGCCTCTTGGTATAATCAGCATTATGGCCAGGCATTAGGTTGAAATTTATGCGGTGATGGCGACGTATTTCCCAACTCCCCTCGACCGCAAACCATTTTAATGCGACGTCATTTTAATGCCACGAAGAGCAGACGGAAAAAATAAGAAAAGCTAGTGAAGGAGACCAAGGAAGAGGAGAAATAGCAGTCCAGTTCGGAATGCAAACATAATTTCCCCTAATGCCAGCACAAAAGTATAGGAGCTTGGCATTTGCAGTCGTTAGAGAATGCATTCAATTAGCCAAAACAACTTTATGGAGCAGCCGTTGCTGTCCGAGGGGCGTGGCCTCTCAGCCATTGGTGGGCCAGCAATCTCGGAACGCGGCACCACTTGCACCACCAACAAACCAACAATCCGGCGATAAGCGAGCACTTTGTGACGCACTGCTTCCGCAGAGTGACGTGGGTCGCTCATGACCCCGACCCCTGATCCCTGATCCCCGATCCCCATCCGTTCTGATCCGGTCTCATGTATGTAAATACGTACTGCAGATAGCATCGACAACAGGCGACGAGCGACAATCTGACAACTGATACGGGGGAATTGCTTTTGCAGACCAACTCTGACAGGCACTTACTTCTACTTGACTTGCACACTCATTTGGGGTCATCTCAGGTTCCAGAATATCATATTAAACATTTGAGTCGACACACCACAATCCGGTAAAACAATTGCTAATCGATTGTAGTCGTGTGATAGGCAATCTATATTGCTGTTAAAAGTGGTTACACGATTTTGAGTAGCTCTCAAGTTACTTTGCCATGCAATTATAGTTCTATGTACTATTCTGTAAAACTATAAGCACAGCCTGGGTCGAAAAAGTTCTGTAACTTTTTTTGGAAATAAAAATGCATTAAGTAAGCCTTTAAAACTCCCTGGCATCCCAGAGTTTTCATTTCCTATCCAATCCGACAGCAATAAGTCCTTGTAAATGAGTGACTAAAAAAACGTATTCTTCCGACGCGAACAATCATTCCTGCTTTACATTTGCATTTTCTTTTGCATACTTCAGCTGGCACTCGCACAATGCAGGGAGTATAAAATTCAGCAATAACTTCGCTGGCCAGAAAATATGACGGAAAAGGGCAGAACTTTCACGGAGAAAGAAGAAAAGCAGATGAATAAGGCTGGAAAAACTTTATGGCGATGGATTTTCTCTCGTTGCCGTCGGCAGTCGGGGACGCGACTTCATTTCATCCCATTCCTCCTCCTTCTTAAGAGACAAATTCACTTTTTGACTCGTAAAATGTATTGCAAATGTGTATGCTCATCCCGCTTCAGGGATCCATTTGCCTAGCCCATTTTCATTCCACTCTGCTCTAAAATATTACATTACTACAAATTGAAATTTTGCGCACGTTTCTGTCATTTAAATCTGTTGAGGCGGCCCAAAACCAAACGAACCAAGTATCTGCCAGATACTTTCTGTGCGAGGGGCGGTTGCCTTTACTATCAGGCGGACGGCAATAAAATAAATAACATTTAAAATGAAATATTTGATTGGGCGCATGCAAAAGGGATACAATAAAGTTGGGGCATGCAACATGTTGGGGACTGCAAAATATCGACTGAAGGTGACCTTTACTGGTGGCTTGCACAAACTTCTATCGCCGTCTAATGCATAACTTTGCATAAATTTCCCACAACCTAATCGCCAAAGTTGACTCTGCTGTAAATAAACAGAACAATGGCGCCAAGCCACAAGGAAAACTCGTTGGTGGGCGGAGTTTTCCAAGATGACAGTGAACTTGGTGGGGCATGGGCCCTGCAATTGAAGTGTGACCTCGATAACGAAGTGAAGTGTATCTGCGCGAGCGTCCAATAGAGCACTTAAAGCCCCGGCACCACGGAGCATGAAAATGAATAAGTTGCTGGAGCGCAAACATTTAACGCTTCATTAACTTTAGATAAAGCCCAGGACCAGGCAAAAGGACAAAATCGGCTGAGACAGCCCTCACATCCACCCCTCGACGAAGGGAAAAATTGAGCCCAACTTCAATCCCTACAATTAAACAGACCACCAAACGGCAGGTGGGGGCAGCAAAAATCGATGACAAGGTGACTGTGGCAGCCACTTCAGCGCGTGCCCGCTAAAATGAAAGGTTTTGGGGAATGGAAACTACGGCAGACAACAAGGCTTTACTTGAATTATATTAAAGCGTATTTTAAGTAAGATTATTAGCACTTGAATCGCCAGCATTTTAATGATTCATTTAAAGTAACTTTTATAATGTAAACACTTTTTCCCAAATGTAAGCTAAAAGAAGGCCTTAAACTGAGAAACCAAATGAAACGCCGAAAAAACATGCCTAATGATATTTATCAGTCTTTGCAGTTTTCCGAACTGTAGTAGTACTAATATCACAGATTTTGCAAATAGTTTTGGAAAACGAATGATTGCTTTTTATAGATGAATAGATTTAAATAAATACTTTAAGGGCACTCTCATATGTTAAATAGCTAAAAACCCTGTGCCCCTCTGAGTAAACAACTTATTTCGTGTGCGCATAGTGAAACAAATTCGTCACACAAATATTTAAATATTCACTTCCCCAGAAAATTAAGCCACTTACCTTCTCTCGCTTTCAAGTAGACCGTATTGGCCACAATATTCTCTAATTCCATTAGTTCCAGGTTGGCGGTTTTTTAATGAATCCTTTGGCGATCTCGAAAAAGTAGTCACAGTGGAACTGGCTGGTCCTGGTCCTCCCTTTTGATGTTGCTCCTGTTTTCGACCTTGGTTGGCTCCTTTCAACAGGGATATCGCTCTGCGTTTTACTGGGCGACTTCTTAGACTTGCAAATCTACGGCTGGCTGGCTAATTTGTGACCGTCGTCTGGCGTCCAGCGTTGCGGTATTTGGCAGCAGGGTTTCAGTTGCAGACACAGGCGTCATTTAGTTTCAAGATTGGAATTTGCAAGGCCGAAAATGTGCCCCTTTTTCAAGTTGAACCAATTTGCGCTTGATTGAATGCTGTGGGACTGCGGGCAAATGGATTTCCTCAATCTGCAAGGAAACGTAAGCGATAAAGGCGTATAAATATCTTGGTTAATTCGATTTGACAAGGGACTGCAGGGGTAAGAGGCTTACTAGTTTATGCGGGTTCAATTTAGCATTTTCACTTGGTCTTTAGCCCGAATTTAAATGAGTTAAAGCCGACGAAAGGCTTACCGATTTCGTAGCAATTATTTGATGACTCTCCTAATTTCTCACACATCAAGCAATTATCTCTCTCATGCTTTTACTTGCGGCCACTTTCAAGCTGAATTAATTATATTTTCCTTAATGCCAGGCGAAAACCACAATACCCTTTTGGCTGCTCTTGAATCTGAAGTATTCGCATGTGCATATGTATCATCTATCGTTGACGCTTTGTGGCTGAAGTTCGCCTCTTGAAAGAAGTTAGTACACGTTATGTGTACGTGTACTTGTTGTGTCACCTGTTTGTGACAAAAGAGCTGCGTGCGAATATTAAGTTTGCATATGAACACCGAGAAAAATTGCAAAGAAATGACTTCCTAACTCTAAGTTACAACATTTTTATTTTAAGTGAAATGCATAATTATCTCTGTAGAACATTTATCATGAATTTGGAAACGCCTTTTTAATTTAGTTTTAGGTGAATGATGTACATTTTCCTTTATTAATATCAACGTAAATGTTGGTTTCCGATACATATAAACATATCCAGCTGGTTTTGACGGTGTATTTCTAGGCGTGAGTGAGTTCCATCTTGTGGTTGTAGCCCGGCAAAAACAGAGTCTTTGGGAAGGGGATGGGAGTTGAAAAGCCACAGCATACTTAGCCCACCTTGATGGCTGTTGGCCTTCTGGAGGTGTCAGTAATGTTGCGGTCGACAGTGTGTCGCTTTTATTAATCATGGACGCACTGACAAGGGGCGTTTCGGAGTGGGAATACCAAAGGCATCGAAAGCCGATGCTGGGACCCCGGTTCCCGACTGGCAGGCCTTCTACGTGTGGGCATGCCCTGTGAAGTCGAGTGTCACGAGCAACTTATAGCAAAATAATTGAATGACACAAGTTTTCCTCTGCTGCGTGAAGGCATTTACAAGTTCGCAGGGTCCATGAGCTGTATGGCAACCAGATGATTTCAATAATACTTTTTTTTAGAAAACGTTTTATGACCTCGGGTCCGTATTTGCACTTATCAACTCTTATGTGCGTCATAAAGTTGTTGGTGTTTCTTTATTTATTGGCTCTCGCATAGGCCATTTTTAATTAAAAATGAACTCACGATGCTACGTATAGATCTATTTGTTATAGAATAGCCATCCAAACCGCACCATGTGCTGGATGCACATCAATCAAGGCTGGAAAGTGTGGCCATGCGAATGTTTACTTTCAAAACAATTTCAAGCAAAAAAGCGGCCACTTTTTGGCAGCCCTGGGCTAAATTAATTGTTTCTGAAATGCGTAGCCAAATAAATGGGAGGGCAGAACCAATCAAGCTTAATATATTTGGAACCCCCTCTAATAAACAAGGCTTTTACGTCCGCCATGTATTATTCAGTCCTCGAATGGGCATGAATATGGCCATTTCATTTACACTCCACGCGAGGTGCGGAGCCATAAAGTGCGTTCTAGTGGCCACTAAAAGAGCGAAACACCAACGGCATCGGAATGGGCCCAGATTGTAGAGCATTGACGACTCACATCCACATCCTGGCATCTCCTGTCTAGTTCACCGATTGTCTGGGGGAGAAATTGAGGAATGAGCGGTGGCTGCGCACGTTAAAAGCCTCTTTATTGAACATTTGCGCCATTAGGCCCGTTTGCTGAAGCTGTGCAGGCTGATGTTGCTGTCACAACGACGACGGCATAAAAAACTCAACCGCCAAACGATGTTGTCAGTCATCCACTCACAACCACACCCACATTCACCCCGTGTGTGCCTGCACCAGGCGACGCCATTATGAAAATGTTACGAAATGGCGCAAATGTGCATGGGGCTCATAACGAAATTAAGCGGCAGCATTACGGCCACTTTTTCAACACTTCCTGGAAAAGTGGCAACAAAGCTAATGTCATTTTCCGTAAGACTTCATTTAAGGCTGATTTCGTTAAAAAAAATAAAAGTAATAATGGATCAATAATTTTTCCATTGTAACATGGTGCCCAGCTAAGGTTCCAAAGAACAGTTCTGAAAGCTCAGTTTATATACTTCAACATTCAATAGTAGACTTAGCTTTTATTTAAAAAGATAACGGAAGCTAACTTTGACAAGCCGAAGTTTTGATAAACTGTTTTAAACTTGGTTTGTATTTTGGAGTCGTTTTTGTATCATTTCTACTGTGTAGGGGTAACCAAATTTTCAAAAAATGGCTTTGCAGAAAAGTGACCTAAAACCTGCACTTCTAAGCCCATAACTTTTCGTACAGACATCCGATTCCAAAGTGGCATACTACTAAATGATTGTGGTTTAATTCTCTAAAAAACTGTGTTTTCAACTTGGTTTGTATTTTGGGGTCGATTTTTCGACCCCTTTCCAAATTTGCGAAAAATGTCTTCGGAGAAAAGTGACCTAAAACCTACACTTTTAAGCCCATTCATAATGAATGTGGTTTAATTCTATATTAGCTCTATTACATTTAATGGACAGTTGCAGAGGATAACCAAAGCTTTTCTTAATGTTTTTGATTGATTTTCGTAAAAAAGGGAGGAAGCTATTTTTCCCAATAAACGTCTTAGTTATATATTCAACACTTCTTATTACAGTAATCCCCAAAATTAAGATATTTTCTCAGATAATCATTCCTGTTCACATCCAATTAGGGGTTCCTCATGGTATCTACATTTCCTCTTGGTCCGAAGCAGCCGTTGTTTTGGCCTCCATCACCATTAACTTGTACTCAAACCGCTAGCCTTTATCACCTGTCGCAGGTAAATTGCTTCTATCTGCTTCGGAGTTTCTGAGATTTTCGCATAAGGGGGAGGCAGGTAAGTGATCCAACATCAGAGGATGTAGTTTCGAGGACAACTTGACAGCGGCCTTAGTTGAGAAGCGCATTAACTAAATTATGGAGGAGAGCAGCTGCCATCGATTGGGCGGTGTAAGCAGCCTCAAGCGTTCAAGCTATTGACTTATTAATTAAGACAAAGCAGTCAGCCCCAAATGTCAGTCCGCGGATGATGGAGAGGGGAGAAGGGCACTGAGGTTTGGACAGAAACAAGGCATATCATCCCTTATCACATTTATGACAGTCATGGCCATAACCAGAAGCTCGGAATACGTCAATTTAAATGCCAAACGCGAAGTTTGAGTCACTGAGGGAAAAACGTTCTTAAAATTTATTTATTAACATCGAATCATATATAAATGTATAAATAGTTAATATAAAAATTAGTCAAAACGTTATTGAAAAAACAAAACCGTTAAGAATTATAATGAGGTGGAGTTAAGCTTCGCGTTTTCTTTCTTCATCAGTTATTTGCAATTGGAAATATTAAGAAGTATCCATCGAAATTTTCTCTCAGTGCAAAGGCATTTCTCGCAATCCACCACGGCCCATGCATAGTCAAGTAGGCAGGGTAGAAATAGCGACACGAAGGAGCAGTTTGGGACTGGCGGAGGACAACCTCAATCATGGGAATGCCCAAAACGGATATCCTCAGCGCGTTTTGCCCAACCCCGTGAGTTATGGAGTCGCCTGCATCCTGTTTCTGTCTGCATTTTGCTGCTGATGCTAGCAAAAAGCGTAGAAAACGCAAGCCGGAAAAAAACAGAGTCGAGTAAAGCGAGTCATATTGCCCACTTGGCTTTCGTTTTTATTTGCTCTGCTCGTGCTGCCTTCCGTTTATTTTTCCCATTTTTTTCTTTTTGGTCCCCACATATTTTTGTGCTTAAGCTTCGTTATGGTTCCACCCAGTTCCGCTGCTGCTCTTGGCTTTCCCGCACCTCTTTGAGCCGTGTTAATTTTGCTCTGAATGCGCAATTTATTTGCGTTAAACTTGGACGTGCATGTGGGCGGTCGGTTCTATCCTGTATGTGGTTCTATTTCCCGCACCCCCGATTTTTGCTTTGGCTCCAGCTGGGTGCGGCTTCCTCGATTTGGCTGGCTGGCTGGCCGGCCAAAGGATCAACTTTTCGCCAGGCGCCCTGTGGCATTGCATGTCCTTCTTGTAGCAGCACATACGTGCGGAGGACTTCTACAAAATGTTTTCACTTTAATTTGCAGTCGCTGCAAAATTTTAATCAGCCCTCCTCTCGCTGAGTTTTTATGCTTTTGTCCGCCTTTCTATTTCGTTTTCCTATTTAGCACTTTTCTTTGCATTATGAGTCGGTAATTAGAAACGCGAGGCGATTTAGAAAGCCACAGAAAACTTTTATGTTTGACTTTTGACAATTGCTTAAACGAAAAGTGGAGTGACATTTTAAACTAATAGGAATTTACTTTATAAATAACTAGCTTTTGTAAATATAAAGCATTCGAAGGAATTTGCACAAATTTAAAGTGTTTTACTTCTCCCATTTAAAAAACCTATGTTTAAAAACCTCAACAAGAGTTATCTAGTTTAAACTAGTTCAAAGTGAGCCCTGTATTATTGTCACAATTTAGGGCTATTGCGTACCCAATTATTTGGTTGCACTTCTAAAGCGTGATATTTCCACCGCTTGACAAGCAAACACAAACCATATTTGTGTATATAATACTTAACTGCTCAGTGGACCGCAAAGATGTGTCAGTAGGTGTTGTATAACATTGCATTCGCATTAACACAACGAGGGGAACTGAACTGAGAGGGAACTGATTGCCAGTAAGGACAGCCACAAGTATGCGGTTAGTTGGACCAATACTCGATTGACTTATGATAATGGAAAATAGGCGAGACTCTGCGTAATAACATCAGTATTACTTTTTCTTTCGAGTCATCGGAAATCAGAGACACATTTTAAGATAGATACACCGGGCAAAAAAACAATCTGTGATCCTCGAAATAAATTTCATATTCAAATCGAAAGATGTGTAATATTTAATTTTCAATTCT